TGAACCTCGACTCGCTTGCTCCTGACATTTCCAACGTGTCTGCACATCCAGTGGTTCCTTTTTTCGCCTTGGCCTTCGACTCCTCGACCAGCGAGGTGACTTGGCTAGGGGTCCCGGGTCCGTCCTGAAGAAGGGCGGACGGTAAACCTGCTCGAGAGATTCAAGACTGGTCTATCGACTGGTTCGGGCACTGAAGGGAAACCGTGCTTTCATGCAATAAGTTACGCAAGTTGAAGTATGTTTCTTTGATCTGCTTTTCTTTTGCCAACTTTTTTTTTCAAATTTTTCAAAATTTTTTTACGTTTTTACCTTGGCGATACGTAGTGGGGTGTGAAAACCCTCACCTACCCCTCTATTCATATTTTTATACAGTTGATAACCAAGACTAAGGTGATTGAGGCTAACTGGGTTTCTTCATGTGAACAGCGACTGCGAGATAGGCATTCTGAATACCTTGCAACCCTTATTCACGACCGCGCAAGGTCAATTGTCGACCCTGCGGTAATCGCCGGTGTTTTCACTGAAATTGTTTCACTTTACCCGCGGAGCTCTCGCAAGTGGTACAACAAAAGCATAATGCCTTCCTCGAATGCCGATGACCTGTCGGTCGGAGACGTGTTCGCTCCGCAGGCCGATAGCGAACAGTCCGTCATTGATATCCCAGCCAATCACTGTCGCCCCAATGCACACATGGGCACTATGCCACCCCCAGAGCAGACAATCAAGGGATTCAATGGGTTCACAAACCAGACTTTCAACGAGAACAAGCAGCGACGGAAGAAGAAGAATGACCAATTGGGGCCGTCATGCGCAACCGTTCGCGGTTTCACTCCTCTGGCATCTGGCGACGAGGAATCGGACTTTTCCGCTGCGAGCTCACGTACACCCTCTCGGCCTCCTACTTCCCTTGATGGCGCCAGCCCACTGGTACAGCCGTCCACAGGCCATGGGGTTAGCGCGTTGAAGCTTCAACTCAATACCTTGAATCTGTCTGACGACACAGCTTGTCTCGGCGGCTTTATCTCCAAGACCCCCAGTGCTGCCAGCGTTTACTCCGACAGTGACCAGACTGAGATCTTGACCAGCTATGAAATACCTCTGGATCAGGACTTTGTTAGCTCTGATGCAGTGCAGCCAGAGGCACTGGACGATCGCAACGCGGATGTCCCCGGTATGAACCCGGAATTGCGCAGTCAACTGTGCCGCAAAATGACAGCGGAGGACTTTGTGCCTATCCTCTGCCTTGGCAAGGGCTCATTCGGAACTGTCTTGCTGGTGCGCCACGTTGTCACGGGCAAGCTCTACGCACAGAAACAATTTCGGAAGGCTTCCCTCACTGTCCACAAAAAGCTAGTTGAGCAAACCAAGACAGAGCGTACAATCCTGGAAAGTGTCAACCGTCACCCCTTTGTCGTCAAGCTATTCTACGCCTTCCAAGACCACGAGAAACTCTACTTGATTTTGGAGTACGCGCAAGGCGGCGAACTCTTCCACCACCTAGCCATGGAACGCATGTTCGAAGAAGACGCGGCAGCATTCTACATGGCAGAGATGGTCCTTGCACTAGCACACTTGCATCAAAACGTCGGCGTTCTCTACCGCGACCTGAAGCCGGAGAACTGCCTCCTAGACGCGCAAGGCCACCTCCTTCTAACCGATTTCGGGCTCAGCAAGATCGCCCTTAGTGACGACGATCGCTGCAACTCCCTCCTCGGCACAATCGACTACATGGCGCCAGAAGTGATCCAAGGCAAGCCATACGGCAAAGCATGCGACTGGTGGTCCCTCGGTGCACTAGGCTACGACCTCCTCACCGGCTCACCCCCATTCCGCGGAAACAATCACGCAAAGCTACAAGAGAAGATCGTCAAACAAAAGCTCACGCTGCCTTACTTCCTCGGGCCTGACGCGAAGGATCTTCTCACCCGTCTTCTCCGCAAAGAACCCTCCAAGCGTCTCGGATACCATATGCAGAAGGACTTGCAGATTATCAAAAAGCATCGCTTCTTCCGCAAAATCGACTGGGCTGCCCTTGAGCGCCGCGAGCTCGACCCGCCTATCCAGCCTATCGTCACGGACCCTGCGCTCGCCGAGAACTTCTCCGTCGATTTCACTCATCTCCCACTCAGTCCAACGGTTACTGCCACTGGCTTTGACGAATACTATGGCAAGGGACAGAATTTCCCCGGTGGAAAAGGTGCGGGTGACGACGATGTTGGCGCTGAGAGTAACCCGTTCGGTGGGTTTAGCTATGTTGCTTCGAGCAGCTTGCTGGATCATGGGTTGGGGATCATCACTGCTGGATATTGAACTGGGGTGTTGGTGATATGGCTGGGGAGAACTGATAAGAAAATGATGAAGATGAAATGGAGAACAAGGACAATGCATATTTCGCATCAAGGCGTCCGGGTGTGCCGGGTTTCGTACATTGCAGCATCTCATGCACCATGGGGCTTTGGATCGTTTCTTATCCAGGTGCTTGTCTTGTTCTGACAAGTTGAAGCAATACAAACAGCATCATCTGAATGCAACCAGTGGTACAAGGTTCACATTCGCATATCTACTAGGAAATTTCTTCCTACGTCTCTTTAACTTGGAGTTGAAAGCATCCGTAAACACATATCCGTAAATCTGGACCTGGAAAACTAGGATTGAATCTTACTTGTTTTTTGATACGAGAACTGTTCCTAAAAAGCTTCGTCTACAGCCCCAATGAAGCTGGATGTAGGATAAAGTATAAAAGCACAGTGAAGTAGATAGGCAAAAAGGAGAAATTTATTCCCCGTGGGTTTTGTTCATTCTCACTCATATATAGTATCCTCCCAAGTTCCCCAAAGCCACAACACTTCCCAAACAGCGTAACCCCAAGTTTAGAGATCTCGGGTCCTAGATCTCGCCTTCTTCACTTCCAGCATCATCATCAGCCTCGCCTTCATCTTTCTGTTCAGCCTGGGAGTCGAATTTACTCCGATGATCCACGTCCGCCGTGGGTAGGGGGACAGATCCAGGGGGATGCGCGACTGGAACGACAAGTTGTTGTTTTTCGGGGACTTCGCCTTCTTCGGCGCTGGACTCTTCTTTCGGAGGCGAGTGTGCTGAGGGTCCCAGGCCTGGATTCTCGCCTGTGATTGAGAGGGAGTTGAAATGAGGCGTGGCTTTTGTTTGAGATAATGCTGCTGCGGGGACGTGAGGACGGGAGTGGACTGGAGGGTGTGTTTTTTGGTCGGTGGGGAGAGTCGCTTCGTGAGAGGGGGTTATGGTGCGTTGGCGCTTGGGGGATCGATCGCGGTCACCGTTCCCGTTGAGGGTTGAATGGGGTTTGTTTTGTGGGGAGGATGGGTGTGGGTGTGGGTGTGATTGTGTGTTGGCGTGCGATTCGGGTTCGCGCGAGCGTTTACGGCCATTTGTAGTCATGTCTGAGGTGACGGCAAGGGTTGGAGGGGTGGAATTGGACTGTTGCTCCGAGGCGGATTTTGTAGGATCGGTGTCGAAGATGCGAGTTGGGTCGTTGGGGTTGGGGGTTGAGTCTGAAAGCGAGAATTCCGGGTAGCCCTTACTAAGGCTTTGCTGGACGCGCTCGTAAATTTTGACGATGAAGGTGCAGGCGCGGATGAGGTCGTCGAGGCGGACGTCGATCTGCTCCCACCAGGGTCTGCCTTCGGCATCGTCGGGGAAGGCGACTTTGCAATGGCGAGCTGCGGCGTACAGGGCCGCGGCGGCGATGACGCGCGGCGGGAATTGGAGACAGAGGACGGTGTAGGTTGAGTCGTTGAGGAAGGAGTAGGTGGAGTGTCGCAAAGCTCTGTTGTCGCCGACACCTAGGAAGACGGAGTAGTCCCAGAGGATGCGGTAGGGGGACTCGACCTGTAGGTCAAAGCAGAGGTATTCAAGCATGACGCTCTCGTTCTGCAGAATCAGGTCGCGCCACTTCCAGTAATCTTTAGACTGCTCGTCGACAATCAGGTTCGGCTGCTTCATGGCGACGCGGCAGCATGCGATAACGAAGTCTTTCATGCGGCGCATGGCCTCGTCCACCTTGAACGCAACGAAGAGGGCCACCGCGGCGATCACCTTCGGGTGCATTAGGTCCGACCCCATTTCCGGATATTGTCCCATCAAAGAGTAGCGCATGAGGAAGCGGTGCATGTACACTGTGGCAGTCATTGAGGTCTGTGGGGGCATCTTCAACATCACGCTCACTTGCCAGATGAACTCGACTGCACGGTGCCGAATGTAGTCCTCTTTCCCGCGTTCAATCTTATCAATGCGCGAGGGCGTGCGCTCGAATTCTTCTTCGGTAAATAACCATTTGTGTTGCTCCGCTTCCAACACCGGATTCGGTAGGCCGGGGATTCGTCGCTTCGGCGGTGCTGAGGAAGCCATGGCTATGCGAAGTGAAGAGGGGGAAGACAAATAAGATCGACGAGCGGTTGTTCACGCAGTGATGACAGAGATGAAGCGCATCCAGCGCACCCAACAAGAAATAGCTCGCGTGATGGTCAGCAATATTATTATCGTTCCAAACGTCACAGTCGTTGGGCCAAATTTAGCATGGCGGAGCTTTCTATCGCATTGTGGAGATGACGGTTCACGACGGGAGATATTCGGAGAATTGGAGAAGTGAAAGTCAGGGGTAGGCAATATTGGAATAGTAAAGCGCTGCCTAAATATCGAGCACGATCAGATGCACAGCAAGGACCTCCGTATTGACGTCGACAAGGGAAGCTTTTGGTCGGAACAATCGCTTTTCCGATTGTAACTATTTATCCGCTTCACACCGACCTCGGGAGTATGAATAGCCACTACATTATATCCCAGGAGGGAGCAATTACAGGTTTTATAGACGCTCATGTAATTTGAATTCGTCATTGATATGCAATTGCACTCTTTGAAACAATTCCTATAAATAATTACAATTGGTATCTAGTACTTTGGAAACAAAGTCCCGTCCTGGCGCCACGCTGATAGATGCAAAATACAAAAAAAGGCCAAGTAGGCATTTATTCCTCCTCACTGATTTCACTCTCATCATCACTGGGAACATATTGCCTGGTCGTGGGTTGGATGTAATGGTGGCTCAGAGCCTCCTCTTCACGAGCACTTTGTTCAAAAGCGGCCTCCATCTCCGCCGCCAAAGCATCATCATCTTCCACTTCATCCTCTTGAATAGCCGTGCGTGTTTGGGCTGAGGAAGTAGGTGGAGCTGTATTGCCGACCGGGGAGGGGAGACTTAATTCCCCAATGTCTTCGTCCCCATCATCATCTGCGGAGGTGTTATTGGATGAGAAGTAAGTCCGGTCCACGAATGGGCGCGGAGGTGGAGAACCCATGTCAATAATGAGATCTCCGTCAACTATGATATTGGAGCTGGGAGACTGCCCAGCTTGTTGTGATCCCGTGCCGGCATCGGATGGCGACGAGCGAGAGTCCTCATACGCAGGTGGGTCGGGATAGCTGACAGGCTCGCTTGGCTTGGTGGGCGGGTGTGCTTTGGCTGGTGCTTTTGCTGGCGGTTTCTTCTGTCGCAGCGGGTTTGTTTGTGTTTGTGTTTTGGATCGAGGTGGTGCAGGTCTAGGTATAGGTCTGGCAGTCGGCATTAGGGGTGTGCTGGCTCTGCTGGTGGCAAGTTCTGGGGTGCTGTGGCCTGAAGGTGGCTTATCATCCTCCCGGCGATTCTTCGGGAGGAAGTGTCGGAAGTCGTAAGGATTGCTATCATCGGCCGGCCCCTCGTCCTCGCTGGTATTTCCTCCGTGTCGGTCTTCTGCCGAGGTTGTTGGTTCATCCTCTTCCTTTATCTGAAGTTGTTCGTATTGCTCGCGGACCTGCTTTTCCGTCTTTCCTGGAGCCGACCGAAGATTGAAGTTCAAGGTTGTCGAGACCGACTCTAAAACGAAGACTTTCCGCTCTGGGTCGAAGATCAGAACCAGGCTTCGCTCGCCCGACGGGTCCTCGCTGCCTTTGTATGCATAGGTCAACGTTTGATCGACATTCGGGGCCTTATCAGTAACAACGAGGTCATAGTGGTCGGCTGATCGGGATTGAGTGATGGTCGACCGTTGCTGTGAGGTTGCGGACTTGGATTTGTGGTTATAATTGACGTTGATCAATCGGCTTGTGTTTGGGTTTCGAGCAAGCCTTTCCCCCAGCACAATTGGGTATTCGGCCTGCTTTGTCGGGTCGATCATGGAGGACAATGTGGGGGTAGCCATATCTGCACTCATGGAGGGGATGAGACTCCGAAATCGAAATAGTTTGTACAATGCAGAGGAGAAGAGAGAGAAAAGGGAAAAGAAGATTGAGAATCCCCAAAGTCGGGGAAAGGTTGAGGTGGAGAAGAGTGAAACGGTCTCCCCACTCATACAAGGGCGATTTGCAACATATCGAATACTTGGATTCCTTACCTACTTTCTTAGCTCTTAGATTAATCTCTTGGATCCTGACTTAATATTAATCTTTTGATCTCATGTTTCATGTTGAATCAACCTGCTTATACTCCGAGTTCTGTGCTACATTCTACGCAGCAAGACTTCGGGTCCGACTTCGGCATAGAGTACCGGGATGAAGAATAAAACACGTAAAGCAAGGTACTGCCATTAGACGATAATTACTAGCCGAGGCATAAACAAAAAAAACGGCTTGCAGAGATACAATGCAATAAAGCAGGGCAGGAGGAGGTATCCAGAAACAAAGAACGAGAGGCATCAGAGACAAAGCGTGAGGTGTCTGTCAGCTATTACAGCTAACACTTTACCACCCAGAATGTGATTGGAATCAAAGAACAGATTCCGAAGTCGGAAATTTGAAGTTTCCGAGTCGTTTATTTAAGCTTCTCCTTGAGCTTGCCGAAAAAGCCACTGAGGCGGTGCTTCTTCTTCTTGTCATCAATAGTAGAAGCACCTTCAGTGCTGTGGGATTGTTTGGGAGAGTGCTCCGTGGTATTTGCGGTTGAAGTAGCAGGAGTTTGAGTAGACTCAGCTCCAGTCGTCACAGTGGGATCTGCGGGCTTTGCGGCCGGAGTTGTAGGTACATGAGCAGACTCCACTCCCGTCGCAGCGCTAGGACTTGCGGGTTCCACAGAAGTGTGAGCCGTGGTTTCGGGAGTCGAGGTTTCGACAGCCTCAGTAGTCTCAGGGCCAGTTGTAACAGTGGGCCCACTAGACTCAGTGTTCTTCGGCGCGGAAGATAGGGTAGCAGCAGCAAAGCTACGGTCCAGCGGAGGAGTCGAAAGTGGCGACACAGCTGCTGAGGCTCCGCCACTAGCGACAGTGAGATGGGGCGCAACGGCCTGGGTGGCCGCAGTGACGGTAGGCGCTGGAGCACCCGCGGACTCTTCAACGGGAATCTTCTTGCGCAGTTCCTCCTCGATAGCATGCTTCTCGTCGACTGCTACTTGGTTCGCAGCAGCCTCCGGGTCCTTGTGGGCCTCAGCCAACGAATCCTTCACTGCCTGGGGGACCTCCTCGACGGGCTTGTCGCCGTTTGCTTGTTTGCCCTTTGCCTCCAACGGAACACCAGCAGCCAGTGCTGCCGTGGTCGAGTTGGGGCCAGCAGACTGGATGTGGTATCCTGGATCGGCCATAGCTGCCTGCTGCGCCGGACCTCCGATGTAGGTCGGCTCGGTCTCACTGGATGCAGCGCTTTGCGCAGGTCCACCTATCGGAAGACTGGATTCAGGAATCATGTTGTTGGTGATTGGGGGAAGGATATATGGGAGATCGCCAGAGTTGGTGTTGATGTTCGGGTTCCCAGTGCCAAACGGAAGAGTTTGGCCCTTCTCATATGACTCTTTGTCCAATGTGACAGTCGACTCAATGGTATTGTTGTGGAGGGTGCTATGGTGAGGGACTTTGTCGCCCGGGTTCAGGCTGACGGGGTTGTCATAACCTTCCGAGGCTGGGATGGGATCCACGGAAAAGGTCTGTTCGGATTCCTGTCCCGGAGTCTCTGGGAAGCTACCAGGTAGATCCCCATTGGGCTCCTTGGGAACGTTGGCAGCGAGAGCCGCGGTTGTAGAATCAGGGGTCACGCCAGACATAGTGGGGTCAAAGTGGGAGTCCTTGATCTCTTCGGGTAGAAGCACGTTGTTGATGTTGTTATGTCCGTCGTCTTCTTCACGGACGTTGGGATCAGTAGTCCAAATACCGTCGACAACAAACTTTTTTTTTTAAAAAAAAATTCGTCAGTGAGAAGCTAGACAATCTTTGAATCTTGGAACCTTGGGGAATTCCGGGAAGTTGCGACTTTATAAATGGGGGGGGGGAGGAAGCGGCACAGGTGACGTCAGTGGAAGGGTCCCTGTTGCCTAAGGCTCACCGCTATCCGATCTACAGAGGGGAGGACAAAGGTGAAAAAGGAAAGTGCGAGAGGAAAAAAAAACAGTCAGCCCATACCTTGTACTGAACTTTTTGTACGGGAGATAAAGTCACTTCCTTAACAAAGATATTGCCCACCCGGTCCAGTTTCACCGTCTTACCCCAATCATCGAAATTGCCGGTAACGAACACCTCGCTCGCATTGTAAGGCCTGCAAGTAAGCGTCTTAGGATTGTACCACGAGGAAGTTGCGCAGTACCGAGATACCGAGCTCTCTAGCTGGGTCATGCGGGAAGCTTGACTCACCATTGGAATGTAAAAGTTCCCATCTTGATTCACACGACGTTGGAGAGAAAATTGAAAACAGATAATTTGGGTAGAAGGCAGAAAAAAGGGCAATGAATTGGGACTAAATCAGTGGGGTGTGACACAGACCAGTACCTGACCCTGGAGAGGACTTGGCGCCTACGGAGGAGTAAATGGAGGATACGATTCTAATTCTCTTGCCCTTCTGGAGATGCCCATTAATCAAGGGGTTGGGGTGAACCGTGGCTGTGGCCGGGTCTATGCGCCCGATCTAGACTTTTATGACGCCATGTCAGAGCTAAAAGGGTTGCATGGCTAAGTGCTCCGTACTCCGTGTGTATATTTATATATATTTTTTTTACCAGGCGAGGATATATCGCTTTAGTGTTCTTCTATGGTACTTGATTTAACTCTTACAATATGATAACTATCACTATCATACTGGGCCGGATTAACATGGACCATTTGAAGCCTTTTAAAGTTTTCATGGTTCACGCTTTTCCCGAAAAGATTCCAAGGTGACATTTGAAAACGGCAAGTCCATGACATATGTGACCTAGGGCTTTTCCAAGGTTCCCGTTGCCACTTTTGTGACGAAGATAGAATTCTAGAAGACGGTTGGAAGACAGGGCTTGAAGCTGTCTTTTTCTCATCTTATGATAGCCAGCTCCGATACCACCTAAGGAATCACTGTTCCAGAGTAGTGTACTTGTCCATAATACCTACATCGGACACAATACTTTACTACAGAGCACATGCCTAAATAACATGTTGAGAACGTGAAATTATGAAGCACATCTAACGATCGACAAAGCTCAGACCAACTTTAGTGTGTCTAGTACCCCTCATCTTTCCATTCTCTAGCAACATTTCGACTATTTCTACCTTTTTGACTTCTTGTAAAAGCTGTAAAGCTTCCGGACTGAGCTTCCCTTTAGAAAAGACAGAGGTAATTTCCCGGATTCACCTCCTTGCACTTGCTTTTCTTATTCCATTTGCAATTTTCGATTCATTTTACTTTAACCGAGAGCCATGGAGACGAAAGAAACAGAGAAAATCATGAAGAAAAAAAAAAAAAGAAAAGAAAAAGAGAAGAGACGAGGTCATGCAGTATCCCTACAATTAGACTCCAACCAATAATCCCCCCCACTGCCCCTCCGTTGCTTCCTCATTACTCTTACCTCTTCTGCCTCTTCTACCATCCCCTACCTTTGCTACTTTTCCCTGCATTTTCCTTCCCCTTTTCTCAGTCTCTTTATTTAATCCACTCCTTTCTAATATCTACAGGTTTAATCTCTGTTTAACCCGTTTCACATCCCATTCACCTTCAACCCCGGAGTTGCGGCCTCCCCGGCCCTCAACCCCCTAACGCCCTCATGGCCCAGAATTTTGCTCCGAACTTGGCCCCGGCCATCAACACCAGAGTCGGCGACAGATCTGCTGGCATCCAAAAAATTTCCGAGGACGACGAGTTCGAGGTGACGTCACCAACAAACCTGACTTTCCGACAGTTTAGCTCAACTGGTGCGCCGCCGGGCACCGCTTTGTTCGGAGGTACTGCATTTGCCGAGGGGGGATTACAAACGGGAAGATCGTTGTTCAGCCGGAGTCCCTTCCAGGACACTGCGGGGGAGGAGGACGAGCTGGAGGGGGAGCTGGCCCCCCTCCCGGCACGATCCGCACAGCAAGGATTCCCTAGCAACTACGCGCTTGGTCGGCGGACATCTGTCTCAGCGGAATCGTTAAATCCCACTGAAGCTGGTTCGGATAGCTGGTCGCCTCCTCACCATCCAAAGACCGAAGAGCAGGTCTCCCGGCTTAAGAGTGCCGTCAGTAGCAACTTCCTCTTTTCCCACCTCGATGACGATCAATTCTTGACCGTTCTCAACGCTCTCGTTGAGAAACCCATCCCTGCAAAGGACATCAAGGTCATCTCCCAAGGAGATGCCGGTGATTATTTCTACATCGTGGAGAAGGGAAATTTCGACGTTTATATCCACCCCTCCGGCGCCGTGCAGCCTGGTCCAGATGGTCTGGGCAACAAAGTCGCCAGTACCGAACCTGGAGGATCATTCGGCGAGCTGGCTTTGATGTACAATGCTCCGCGTGCTGCAACGGTGATCTCCACCGAGCCAAAGAGCACACTCTGGGCCCTAGACCGCATCACCTTCCGCCGTATTCTGATGGACTCGGCATTCCAACGCCGTCGCATGTACGAGGCTTTCCTGGAGGAAGTCCCGCTGCTTTCTTCTCTGAAGCCATACGAGCGCTCGAAGATCGCCGATGCTCTGGATACCATCAAGTACCCGGCTAATTCCACCATTATCCACGAAGGCGATCCTGGAGATGCTTTCTATCTTTTGGAGTCGGGCGAAGCTGAGGCCACCAAGAATGGGGTCTCAGGGCCCGTCAAGAACTATCACCGAGGCGATTACTTCGGTGAACTTGCCTTGCTGGACGACAAGCCACGCCAAGCGAGCATCACCACCAAGACGGATGTGAAAGTGGCGCGCTTGGGTCGGGACGGATTCAAGCGACTTCTCGGTCCCGTGGAGGGAATGATGAGAGGGGCCGAGTATGAACTGGACGGGGAGAAGTCTCCTGTTTCCAAACCAATTTGATATGATTACAATGAAATTGAATATGGGAGGTTTTTGAGCCAGGAAATTAGACTTCTCATTGGCAGATCCAGCTCTCATGTCATCTGGCACTCACCCGCTATCCCAATAACTGATAATCTGCCTTCTTTTTCATGTTCATTATTTGTCTCCCATTTCTTCCTTCCCAGCAAACTTTCCACTCTTTAAAGACTCTTTGCCTTGTATTTACAACCGTATCTTCTATGCGTTTGTGAAAGGGACCTACTCTCGTCCCTGTTCACCTTGTCCTTTGGCTACTGTGTTATCCACTCGAATTGTACCTACCCTCCAATACTTAGGTATGATCCAGCAGAATGATTAGAAAGGATTTGATTTGCCAAAATTCTCACAGGCAATGGCTATGGACCCAAACACCCAAGGGTTCCAGGTCGAAGTCGCGTAGGAACCCGTCCACTACGATCATGCTGTGTTCCATATGCCCAATGCTACAACCTTGGAATTCTCAAATGCAATCAATACCAGTACATGACATATCACCTCGGAACAGCTAAATCACTCCTCAAAACCCACTTCTCCCCCCCGGTAACCTCAGCCCCTTCATGTATCATACAATGATTTCCATGTCGGTGCAACAGCGCCATCCCAACCTCCGGTGCAACAGCTATCGGCTCCGGATTGCGGTTCGCGCGTGTCGACTCCGGGTAGAAGATTGTTTCACCGCCTGTGCAGGACGTCAGGTAGACTAGGAGAGTCCAAGTAGTGCGTGCGGGTGTTGCTTTCGAACGCGGGTTCGGTGGCGGGAGGGTTATGTTGTTGGCATCGTCGTCTGCGATTAGGATAAAAGGTGTCAGACTAGTTTGCTTGGGTGCATCAAAAATCCTTGCATCAATCAAGACAAAATGCTTCTTACAATGTTGTCCGAAGAACTGCCCTGCAGAGTATCGATAAATGCGAATGTTAGGATTTAACCCCAACGGTTCCCCGCCCCAGAGTTGACGTGCGCGTTCAGCGAGGACACCATCATTTTCTGTGTCCTGGTCGTCCTCGTACTCGTCTTCTTCAAAACGCGTCGTGACAAGCTCCTTCAGCGCGGTGGTACTCCACAACATCTCCGCAAACCGCGCATCGTCGACTTGGAACCGGTCGTTGACTCGTAGTGCCTCGTCTTTCTTTGGGGTTCCCGGTGTCGTTGTTAGTGGTAGCGAGGCGAGGAATGAGATGTATGTTTTGCAGAGGGTGCCTGAGAGGAAGTTGCGGATTATGTAGATTTGGCCGGGGAGGAGGGGGGTCAGGGTTAGATCGGCGGCGGGGAGGAGGGGGCGAAGGGGAGGCCAGTTTGTGGTTGTGCTTTTTAACTGAGGTTTTGGATCGGGCCTTTTGAATTTCGGGGCCATTTTGGATCTTGGGTGAATAGGTAGAAGTGGAGGTGGAAGTGAAAGTGGTATAGGAAGAGGTACGGAGTATAGGTCAAAAGGCTGTTTTTTTTTAAATCGCGATAAGATGATCTCAGGTACAATGGGTTTCTACATATACTCCGCATCCCCCGAATATGTTATACTCCAAAAAGAATACCTCCCTTCCATGTATACTGGATTGATAGGAATTGTATTCGCCCAAAATATCTACTATCACGGTTTCCCCTCATCTCGACGGGAGGCAAGCCACTGAAATTCTGAGGGGCTCCACCCTACATGTAGACAATAAACCGAGAAAATGTGAGATTCTAGAAGTAAAACGAGGTCAATTGCATAGCATGATCCATAGTGACATCCATTATATAGATCTAGGCTTTCTGATCAACAAAATCGGTGAAGAATCAGCTGCGGGCAGTCCATCTAGGTGGATCAGGTCGGAGAGAATATGGATTTGGGCGGGGCGGGAAAGAAAATTTGTCCCGGAAGAGGATCGTCGGCGCTTTTTTTTTCATCTCTTCAACCGTGAACCTCTCCAGATGCTTATTTTGTTGGAGAATTAGTCTAGTCACATTGCGATATTGAGAACTCAAGAAAATCAACGCAAAGACCCCCAAAAAACATGGCTCAGCGGTGACTACGGCCATCTGCAGCGACCAACTCGGCCACCGCTCACCGCCCGGCCCAAGTTGAGAACTTCCCTTCTTATTGGAACTTCATTCCTCTCCCTTCCCCAGCACCAGCCTGTCATGTCGTCGCAGACCATGACTGCGCCAGCCGTGGGCCATCGACCGCCTGACCCAGGCCCCGATAGACCCCTGTACGACTATGGCAGCTCACCGGACCCCGACTCCCCTTCGAATCCTCGAGACGACTCCGCAATCCGCGCCATGCAGAATAATTCTGCCCCGTCAACTCCCAACGGGATGCCCGCCCCGGACGTCGCAATCAAAACTGAATGCTCAGACAGCCACGACTGTTCAGCTGCGCAACATCACCAAGATGCAGACACGCAAAATGCCGCAAGTGCGCTCCTGGCGCAGCTTCTTGGAAATCAATCAGCCGCGAACTCTACACCTACCACGATACAACCTGCAAAACAGGACGAAGACCAGGATATGCACATGGATATCAAGATGGACGATTCAATCTCCCAGTCATTTGACATGGCTGCCCAAAACCCTGCACCCATCGACCAGAGCTTACACCGAGACACAGCCTCGATCTCTCGCGAGATTCAGGACTTGCTGAATGGGAAAACTTTAGGCGACGAGCTCATGGGAACAGATTCTGCACAAGATATGAACCACACAGGATTCAACTCCGATGTCATGGGGACCTTGTCCGACCCTATGAACCCGAAATTGAACACCGATCAGCCCTCGCTCCTTCCGCCCTTGGACTTTTCGGCCGCCCCGAAAAATGCGTTTGAAGCCCTCCATCAAAACGAGCTGCTCACAGCTGCCTTTCTTTCGCAGAATGCGGATCTATCAGCTTTGGGATATCAAGATGTGGCAGCTTCAATTGCTGGATCGGAGCCTAAGATTCAGGCATTCGCCAAGTTGGAATTTGATGATGGGCACTTTTACGTCAATACCTACTCATTCATTCTAGGACGAGATGTGCGTGCCGCCCGCGCCGCCCACCACCGAGAGTTCCAGTACCGGCAGGCCGTGCGAAGCACTCGGGCGAAGAGTTCAAGTGGAGGAAACACATCCCACACCCCAAACCGGATGAAGCGGGAGGAAAGTGCTGCCATGATGGGCAGTGTAGTCAGTGACCGGGGAGGTATAATGGGCTTTGATCCAGATATACCTCCGCACCTTCCGAACAATATGAACATGAGCCGACGGTCGTCAAAATCCTCCTTTGACGAGGCCGTTGTACCATTGCATGCAAACCCAGCTCAACTACAATCGACTACAGACTACAATGCGCTCGCAATGCAATCTTTGCAAGATGGAAACGGAGACGCAAAGCCCGTTGATGCGCTGGCTTTGCTCCCATCCCCTGATTCTTGCCCCACTATCCCAATCCACCCCCCAACGACCGTTGATGGCAGTGCCGCAGGCCATCGAGGGATTTCTCGGAGGCATGTCCGGATCTCATACAATTTTGATCGTAACTTGTTTGAAATGGAAGTAATGGGACGTAATGGAGCGTTCATTGGGGCTGATTGGCTATCACCGGGGCAAGTTCGCCCGTTACACAGCGGCGACTACATCCAAATCGGAGGCGTGCGCATCCGCTTTTTGCTACCAGATGTCCCTATTGGTGAAACTGGAGCAGACCGGATGGAAGAAAAAATGGCAGAAAATAACGACGAAGAAGAGGAGAAAGATGCTCGTGCTTCAATCGAAATGGATGACGATGTCGATGAATCTGAGAGACTTGGGAGCGACAGCGGCGAGAGCAGGGAACCTTCAAAGAAGATCATTCTCAAAACAAAGGATTCCAAATCATCTCAAGCAATGGATTCTATCGAGAATGGGGATAACGATTCGCAGCCGGCCCGCCGCCGGGGACCAGGACGCCCTCCCAAGGATGGGATCATGTCCAAGCGCGAACGAGCTGAGCTTGCACGGGAGCAGAAAATTGCTGCCAAGCGCGAGGCCAACGGAGGTATCACACCACCTCCACTCAAAGTACCCAAGGCCGGGAAGACAGTTGCCAAAGAATCTGTCGTTCCCGAGTCACCAACAAACAAACCCTCCGAGAAGCGCAAGTACACCAAGAGAAAGAAGCCAGACGGCACACCAATGGATTCTCCTCTTCCCTCAACCGAAGGCGGCCAAATGTCTGCAGAGCCCCCGCAAGAATATGTCAAGCCCCCACCAGTCAAAAAGCGCAAGCCATCACGGTCACCATCTCCCAACTATCCTCCAGAGTCTGCTTACAATGCCGAGGATCTGGCGAAGCCCCCGTACAACTATGCTGTTCTCATCTTTGATGCTCTGACGGAAGCCGGCACGCCAATGACGTTGAAGCAGATCTATCGCGCGCTGAAACTGAAGTATCCGTACTTCCGATTCAAGTGTGAGACCGAGGGCTGGACGTCGAGTGTACGGCACAACCTGAACGGCAACGGTCATTTGTTCATGCATGCAGAGCGAGATGGCAAGGGTTGGTCATGGCAGCTTATTCCCGGCGCGTCGGTTGAGAAGGAAAAGAAACGACGTCCTTCGCCGCCGCCGCAAGTGTCTCATCCTCCTCCACCTGCTCCCCAGCAATACATGCCTCAGATGTCCCACTCTTATGCACCACCTCAGGGCCCACCTCCGGTGCCAAATCCACCACAGCATTTCCAATTCCCTTCCATACCGCCTGCTCCTTTCCCGGCGTCTGTCAATGTGGGAGCACATCCACCACAATCTAGTCCCTATCCACCTCCATCGAAGGCCCCTGTTCCTACACCAACCGCTCCTCCTCCTCCTCCGCCGGTTCAAGCCTCTGCTTCTGCTCCTGCTCCTGCTCCTGCTCCTGCTCCGCCCCCGACTCAGGCTCCGACACCGGCACCCCCGCCGGCGCCTACACCCACTCCTGTCTCTGCTCCCATCCCGTCACCAGCGCCAACACCTATTTCGGCTCCTGCGCCCGCATCTACACCCGCACCCGCACCTACACAGGCCCCCGCGCCCGTACCGTCGGCACCGGCATCGGCACCTGCACCCGCGCCAACACCAGGACCACCTATCATTCCAGCTGCATCATTCCCCATCCCCAGTCAGCTCCGCAACAACCTCCCAGCTGCATTCGCGGCCACCATCCCTTCAACCTACACTTCACCCTACGCATCCGCCCCCGCTCCGCAAGGCAACCAGCAGCAACAGTTGCAGACCCCGCGGCCTCCTCACGGACCACCTCAGCATCATTCCCCTTATCCACAACAAAAGCCGCCATCCTCTCAACCTCCTCACAACAACCCGCAGCCTCGGACCTACCCTCCATCTAGTGGGGTGCAGTTCCAACACCAGCATCAGCATCAGCTTTCTCATCAGCAACCGGTCCAATCCCATTCGCAGCCGCTGTCGCATCCGCCTCAGCAGCAACATTCGCTACCTCACCACCAGCACCCGCCGCAGCATCAGCACCAACATCAGCATCAGCATCAGCACCAGCACCAGCACCATCCGCCTCCAGGTCTCCCGGCCCATTCTCACCATCAGCAACAGCAACACCCTGTTCAGCAAAACTCAGCACCAGGACTCCCGGAGTCATCGTCGTTCATTGACCGAGCGAACAAGGCAATCGATGACTTTGAGGCTGTTCTCATGGAAGACTACGAAGACAAGAACTACATTCGGGAAGTTCTGCGGAGTGCGCGTGCACGCGTGTTGGGCGATGCGCCAGAAAGCTCCTTCCCAGGCGGCGAACCGAAAGACGAAGCCGTCATCATGGACGTGCTACGCAATTTGGTTGGCAGCCTGAAAGACGAGTGAATGGCCTTCTGGCTGCACATATTACAAATATGGGTGGAGGGAATGGTTTCCTCCCTGACGACTTATCGAGTACACGAGTCTTATGGTTTTGCCTTTTTTTCCTCTTTTTCTTCTTCCTCTTTTTCTTTCTCCAATCTATCCTCTTCAAATTGTTGTTTTGCGACACGTCTGGATTCTTTGGATCTTAATGATATCCCTCGGTTTTTGCGGACAGGCGTTTGCTTGCGCCTTGTCTATTTCGTTTTTGTCAGGTTTAAAAAGCTTCTCCCTGTTCTCTTTTGAGGCTCTTCACAGCCCACTGTTTTGGAGGTGCAGAGGGGATCTCTCCCTTGTGGAATCATCCCGATTTGCTTTTTTTGGTTTTTGATCATGGCGTGCCTAGCCTGATCTTAAGCGTAAAAGCTCAGCTTGATAGAAATACCATTCACATTGACCGGACTGAATACACCTGTACTCATTCTCCAGCACAGACACCAGCTATCTACGACATACGAAGGCAGTATGTCAGCACTTTTCAATGTGAAACCCTTGAGGTCACAACCT